TCCTTTTCCCTGTCACTTTCCTAACAACAAAAAGTGTGGGTATTTTGAAAGTGGATTTATTGCACCAGAGTGCTTTAATCCACTTTAACTGTGCAAACTTAAATTTTGGCATGCAACTGAATTCCTCCAGCAAAATATTGACAGTCTGGAGTTAATCCAATCCAGATCTGTCACAAGGCTGCCCCGTTTCCTGAAAGTGAGCAATCAGGGCAAGCAAATAGGAAGGTTTTGCAACGTGATAGGTGCAAAAGACAAACAGAGGCTGGATTCGCTGGGTCTGAGGAGGAGATTATGGCCTGCTCGTCTTTTTCTGTGTTTGGTGCTTCCAACCCCTCTTTATGCCGATAACAGGAAACAATAAGCCTACTCAAGTATTCAAAGAACCTGCAGGGAGGGGCTCCAGGGGACACATTCCAGCCTTGCCCCTAACACCCCACCCTTCCTGTGTCAAATGGGATGGCTTGAAAGGAGATCCTTTACATGTTCCTCTGAATCCATTTAGAATCCGCCCTGCCATAGGAAACCTCATAGGATGCACAGGTTTCTCAGCTGCTAAAAGACCTCTTAAGCACATTCATTTGAATGCACAAGAAACACATCCCTGGCTTAAAAGCTTCAACATACAAACGTCAGGGATGGAGAGGGTCGCTGAGAAGGAGGGTCACATATGCCCCCCTCCAAGTTCTCCTCACTTTATTCCTCCACCCGGATTATCAGGTCACATCTAATGTGTCCAGTTCTGGGCACCTTATTTTAAGGCAAAACTGGAGCATTCGCAAAGGAGGGCGATCAGCCTGGAGCCTACAACTGGTAAGGAACAGTTGAAAGAACCGAGTATGTTTAGGATGGTGAGGGGTCAGATTTTTTTGTGTGGAACACAAACTAGATAATGAGACCATGTCAGAAAACCCCAAATCCCCAGCAATAATTAATTAATAAATAATAATAATAATAATAATAATAATAATAATAATAATACCCCACCCATCTGGCTGTGTTTCCCCAGCCACTCTGGGCGGCTTACAGCACATATAAAAACATAGTAAACCGTCAAACGTTAAACACTTCCCAATACAGGGCTGCCTTTAGATGTCTTCTAAAAGTTGTATAGTACTGGGAACAGCCACTGCTCCTTCCGTGACCTCCTTTGGAGGGTCCGGAAGTTTGCTGGCTGAGAAAGGGAACGCTAGACTAGAGGACCATCCGTGTGATCACAACGTTTATGTTCTTTTAAGCTTGCATGCCCCTATATACTCTGCCTGAAAATATAATGGATGCTCCCAGTTAACTCTGAAACAAAATACAACACAGCACGATGATATATTTTCTCTCCCCCCCCCAACAACCCCAGCATTCATTTTCTCGTATAAAAACACCCCCTCCCCATTAGACTTGTGTCAGAGCTGTAAAAGGGAACTAACTCAGCTGGAGCTAATGCTTCCTTCGGAGAAAGGATTATGGACTGCTTGAAATGGAGGTTTCCAAGAAACAGTGCAATAAGCCCCAATCCGAGAGAGAGGGATATAATGAATGAAGGGTTTGTCTTTTGCTAAGCCAGGTTGCCAAGGCTAAAATGAAGCTGTAAACGAAGGGGAAAGATGAATACCTTGTCACAAACCATTTCATAGGGCAGCTACACAAAAGGACTGGGGCTGAATGAATACGGAACGTCTCATCTGGATGGAGGAGGCATCCTGAGCAGAGAAAGCATCAGGTATGCAAAGCCATGAGCTGACATTCATCCCAAAATGCCCCCTTTGTGAGAGAGGAACAAAGTTGGGTGTCACTTCCAAGAACAATTTATGTGTAAATCCACATGCACAGCAGCCCGGGGACAGAGCGAGAGATTTGTAGCGTCTCTTCTGTCTCAGCTTCCCCCAAAAGAATGAAAAAAGGTTGGGAACATTTTCGGTTCCCATCCTTTTTGGTAACTCTGGGAAGGCAGAACCTCCTCACCTCCCCCTCCTTCCACACATAAAGCAACACCACAGAAAGGCCATCTGGCCATAGCCCAGGGGAGTTTCTGCTGGGTGGCAGGAAAAATCTAAGACAATGTTCTGGATTTCCCCACAACCCGGGATATGTCTCTGACAAAAGCCAATGGATCCTCTGACGGCCTGGTTTTGCAAGCAACATAAAATGTCCTTCTTAGCAATTCAGCAACTTGCTCTGTATTCATCCAGGGGCTTGAAGGCCCTCTGGTGTGATCAGATTGCTTATTAATAGGGTTGTCCACTGATTTGCTCATTTTTGATTAGTGAATTTATTAAATGGAATACACTTGAACATCACCACAATCCCTAAATCAGGAAGGTCATTTTAGTCACTTTCCTTTCGGATGCTTAACATGGGCTGCTTTCGTAGTTGCAGCTCTCTCCTTCCCAGCTCTGTTTCTCTAAAGCAGTCTTCCCCAACCAGGTGCCCGCCTTGATCTTTTGAACTACCGCTTCCACCAGCCCCAGCTAGTGTGATGTTTGGGACTGATGGGATGTTGTTGCCCAAAAGATCTGGATGGCGCCTGGTTGTCAAAAGCTCTGCTCTCAGTGCCTCTTTCTGTCTTTCCTGTCAAGCGCCACTTGCAGATTACCGAGCTGTTATAAATAATAAAGTAAACTTAAAACGATACCCCAATTTTCTGTGAAGATCCAAGCTGCTTACAAATAAAGATATTAAAAATACTTCAATATATTATCAAGAATGAATTTCATGGAGGTTCACTACAGTTCTAGTGTTGATCACAAGCAACCAACCCCCCCATTAGATTTTGGGTGATAGTTATTTGGATTTGCTTAAGTCCTCAGAGTATGGTATTGTTTTAAGTTGTACCCAACTAAGTCCAGCAGGCACAACGAAATGGATTGATCTATATAAGGGTCTACTGAACAGGACCAGCACTGGGATTAACCCTGTAAATCTGAGTGCTTCCTAAAGCATGTGTAGCCAGTGTGCTGCTCTCCAGATTATGTTGGGTTACAACTCCTATCGTCTCTTACCACTGGTAAAGCTGGCTGCGACTGATGGGAGTTGTAGTCCAACATCTGCAGGCCATCACTTTGGATACCGCTGCCATATAGGAATGGAAAGAATACTCCAAGAATGAATGATTAAACAGTAGTTAAGGAGCAGTATCAGTCCACTCTCGAGAAAAATGACCCTGTAAAGGTAGACTGCTCCTGGTGCTTGCCACCACATAGTGAGTGTGGTATGCTGACATACCACTCTTTAGCTGCTTTTACCACAAACTCTTCCATTCATATCCTCTGCTCCAAAATGGACAAATTCCTCCCTTTCCTCCTTTGAGCAAATTCATCACTACCTCATGAATGCCAATGAAAAAGCCTTGTGATGGGAGGTCATGTGACAGATCTGCGGCTGCCCCTTCACACATCATGTGAAAGACCTCTATTAACCAGGCCTGCATGAGGAAGTATGATGCAAAGTCTTCCTCCATGCTTATGAATGTCATTATGTGATCGCCAAACCCAGCTGAAGTTGTCATCAGATTTAAGAGGCTCTATGACAACAGGCTCCCATGTGGCTTGGAGTAAAATACTGTGCTTGTATCTGAAGAATAATTCCCAAGACTCAAAATATTACAGGTCAGTTAGCCTACCTGCCCTTTCAGTTAAGAAGCTGGTTTCTTACTTCTTAGGGAAAATGTCACTCTTGGGCCTTACAGTAAAACAGGATGGTTTTTACGAAAGGCTTTTGCAATAGGTAGCTCTTTCAGCCGTCAGAATTCAAGTCACAGATAAGCTGTAGGTGGCAGAAAAAACCCCTGTACACAACCTTTGTTGATCTAGGCTTAGCTTTTGATACCCTAACTGATGAACTAATAGAACAGGAATGTCCTTAACACAACGGATACATTAAACAACCAATTCTTGACCTCTGGATGGAGATAAAGGCAAGTTAATGGTCCAGGTTTTTAACCGGTTCTTCAGTCCTGCTGGCAAAACACATTAGAACATTATCAAGGCATCTTTACCATATGCCTAGGCGAGATTACTAATCATGAAACAAAGCTCCAGGTATTTTAAAGCTCAGCCATCCTCACAGTGACAAAGCTCTAATAGCTTTTTAAATTTATGTCAACTTTAGAGACAGCAGTCAGGGCCCTCCATTTCTTAAGAGCACACTGGTATATGGCTGCTCCCCTAATACTACCAGCATAAAGGCAGATGACAACAGCACAGAGAAGATTGTGCTCCACAGATGGAGTACTGATCTTATGTCACAAGGTGGCAGCAACACAATTTAAGAGACTGCAGGCTCAAGGATAGCACTTCAGCGGTCTGGATTTCACCCCTCTGTATGCAGTGGCTGGCTCTGTGTGTCTAATCTGTGCTAACCTTATATGTGAGAAGTCAATTTAGGAGCCAATCAAAGTAATTTTGTAGGTGCTACTGATGTTCACAACCTGCAGATGGAAGGCACAGCCCAGAGGGGTGGGTTCTGCCCTGCTCCGCCCCTCTTTTTATTCGTTCATTCACTTCATTCAGAAGTTTTTAACGTACATCCATAACTCATCAACATCAACATTGGAAGAGTAGCAATGGCCTTCACTGAAAGGGTGGCTGGACTGACTTTCTGACTGCCCAACACTGCACTATACAATGGTTAAAGAGCTTGGGTCAAACATGGATTCATTCAGTGCTATTTTTCTAGAAAAAGAAGTCCTGGAACTCACCATGAACACCCCCCTCCTTCTCTTAGAATGGCAATGGTGCCCACCTGAGAGGTATTGGAACTAAGTTCTGTCAAGTTCCAGCTGAAAGCCCTGGAGTCATTCATTCATTGTGCAGAAGCATCAACACTGTCCAAGTCCCCACCACCGCCATTCCACATGCCACTTTATGAAGGGATTTGGTGTCACATAAAATGGTAATGGAGTCAAAGGGATAAGACAAACTGAACACAGAATGCCTCTTCGTCCTGTGTTATGTTATTTGCATAGTGTGTATTTAAAACACAAAATGTACTCCAGAGCTGTTCCTGGGTTCCCTGTTCTTTCTCTTTATTGAAAAGAAATTAAATACACTTCCAAATAAAAAATGAAACAGTAAGCCAAGCCAGGCTGAAGATGCTCACCCATGTTCAATATTCGGTAAACCCAAGGTGACTATGAGAGGTTTTCAAAAGGAACAAATGAATTCAGGGTTTGGGATTATCACTAAATAACACTTGTAGCACAGACTCATACGAAACAGGAGCTCAGTTTATTCAGCCAGTTTGTTAACATCATTGTTAATGTTTGCTACCTTAATATAAGTAATTTCAATACCAGTTTGTCCTTGCACACTTGAGTACGTCAGAGCTACTGATGCATATTACAAGGTCTTGCTAGCAAGCTTTTTCTAGAAAGCTCAAAGCCACGTTTGCCAAAGGACTCCCTCATGAAGAATATGTTGCAGTGCAAGGGCCAGTACAGCTGCCGGGGCCCATTTGTGACAACTGCCTTGGACCCCCCAATCCATTAAAAAAAAAAAGTTCTGGTGCAAGCAGAGCAAGATGGCTGGGACAAGCTTCACACAATCCCAAGAGTGAAACAACAGGTGGGAGCCTGGAGGGAAATTTAAAGGGCACTTTGATCTAGCTTCTCAGTGGCACAGTTGCCACCATTGCCTGGTAAGTCTACCAGGACCCACCAATGAAAGTCCTACCAGAGGGAAGTTTATCTAGAGACCCCTCAAGCCTTGAGATGGTCCTGGATGGAGCTCATGGACTGCAGGATGAGCAGCCGTGTTCTTAGCAGTAGGTTGGGTAGGGGTTCTTGTCCTCAACTACCTGTCCACATGGCAAGGCAGCCATGCTTCTGTCATCTGCTTTGCCACTCTCTATTTGGATCACCATGTTCCCCTACGCCTGCTTCCAGGAGCAGAAAAATAAACGTGGCACCCAGGCCCCTGGGCAGCCCTCACGCAGCTCCCCTATTCATCTCATAAATGGCCTAGCGTACCCAAACAGAAGGGAAGGAAGCCTTAAAAAGGGCACAGCCAGGTGGAGAACAAAACCACGCAGCCTCCTATGATGCCCAGAAGGGAGAGTTTGCCTTTCAGTGGGCGCATCTGATCCAAACCTTCATCCTGGACCCCCTGTTTTTCTAGGATTGCTTTCATCCCTGCTGTGCCTTGCTCCATGGCAAATGTTCAAGCAGGTTCCAGCCCAACAAAAGCACAGGCTGGCACAGGCTATCCCTCTCCCCATCTCACATCGTCGTGACTTTTTCATCCAGCAAGTCTTCCGAATTCACCATCACCAGCTGTGCTCCACTTTGGTACCCTGTACTTCTGGCAACGTCAGAAACACCTGAGCGTCAGCAAATTCCGGCTCTGCCACGGTGACCACAGGCTCAGGTGTCTGAAGCACCTGACAAGGAAAGGACATGGATGTCACTGCTTCAGCTGGGCAGAAGAGTATGCTGGACATTCACTTTGCGGGCAGGTAGCCACTCACGCTCAGCCTGGCTTTCCTCCTCACAGTATAATGGGGAGTGGGTGAAGTTGAGGCAACTTCAAGTTGGCATCAGAAGAAAAGGGGCGACGCTGTTTATATCCAGACTGGGGAACTGGATCTGACCGGCTGGCAGTCAATTGGGCCCATGGACTGGAGGTTCCCCACATCTGGCCTATATTGTAACACACCAGGAAAAACTTTGTGTGTGGGGGAAGCTGTGTTAAGAGGCTTTGCCCTTCCTGATGGGATGACACAGAACAGGGGCCCAGACAAAGGACTGGGAAGGGGTCAGCTTAACATCCCTAATGGGAAAGGTATCACTTACCTGCACTACCTGGGCCATTGGAACTTGTGAACTGGCAACCACCACCTTTGGGTGCTCAGCGCCACAGTGCTGCTCCAGCTGCTCTCGTCCAGGGAAGACCTCCTCGCAGAATGTGCAGACCCAGGAAGGCTCCGAAGGACTGGTGTGTTTGGTGGCCAGGTGCTGCTGCAGTGCCCCCTGGAGGTGGAAAGAGGCTGAGCAGTGTGGGCAGTGGAGGGGCTGAGACCCTAAGGGAGAGAGAGAGAGAGAGAGAGAGAGAGAGAGAGAGAGCAGTCATGAGTAGGCAGGGAAGTGGGAACCTCCAGGGGGAGGGGCAACAAGGGGCAAATTAGGGGCACACTCACCCGAGTGCTGGCTTTTCTCATGGGCCTGCAGCAAAGCGACCGAAGGGAAGAGTCTCTTGCACTTCTCACACTCATGGAATGTCACTTCTAAAGGAAAGCCGTGAGATCCCCGGTGGGTAGTTTATCAAAATGAGGGTTCAGCTACAGGCCAGATATCCACTGACCTTCACCCAGTCCCCTACTTAGGAGAAGGGCTTGCAAAGCCTTTTTGGGTGGCTCCTCTAATGCATTCTCTTCCGACCAACACAGCCCCACAAAGAGCCAATGGTAAGCCACCCACCTTAGTAGAGTGGATCCCTCTCCCCCAAAACCTGGCTGTTGTGGGATCCACCAGGCTCCAGACACTTGTCCCCTCAATCCAAAACCACTGCCTAAAAAGTGAAGTGTGAAGAAAGCATGCACCCAAACCCCACCAAACTATAACAAGCAATGGAGGTTTTGTGGAGGTCCAACAGTTCCTAGGAAGAGAGTGGTGGATTCCATATACCTCCACACCCCCAGAGGAAGTCTACCTCTGAACATGATGCTGGGGGAGGGCAGGGACCACCCTGCTTTTGACTTTGCCAGGAACAATGGTAGAGAAAGATAGGCTGCCGAATGAGCTGGACCTTGGTCTGATCCCACAAAGCTCACCTAACAGCCAGTGCTGAGCTGGAGGCCCCGTGCCAAACAGGCAAGACCTATCGGGCACCAAGAGCAGAAGGCATCAAGGTGGCACCTTTGCCCTCTGAGTCCTTTACCTGCATGCTCTTCCTTGGTGTGTCTCCTGTGGGCTGCAGTGCTGGAAAAGGTCTTATCGCAGGAGCTGCACTGCAGCGAAGAGAACTTGGAGGACCGGTGGTTCTGAGCAGCAAAGATGTCCGGATGGTGAGTCCGATTGTGGTACCACAGCCCTGACAATTGCTGGAGGGGGCAAATCCATTCTGGTTATCACAACCCACACACAGAGGGGCTTGGGCTGCAGGTTCAAAGCCTCGACTCTGGGATTCACACCGACTATGGGGATTCCACCCACCCCATCCCTGAGGTAGACATTGGCTTCTGTCTCCAAAGGAAGCACTGCCACATCAATCCCTTGGCTGTTGCTACCCCACATGCCCTCAATTGCATTTTCTATCTATCCACAAAGGGAGGTCAATGGATGCCCAAAGCAGAGCCTGATCTTCAGTGGAGGCAAGTCTTTGGAAGAAGTCCAAGTAAGACTTCCCTGGTGCTCCTTCTCTGCCATCCCTGGGTGCAAAGGAGTGGCCAAGTCAGAATCTGATTGCCTGTTGTAAACACAGTCTTTGGAACCAATGGGCTGGTTTTATTTGGTATTTTATTGTTACGAAGTCACCTTTGACTGATTTTTATTGTAAAACACCTTGTGCGAAATATAGCTTTTTACCATGTACAAAAAGACAAAATGTCCATTTAGAATTCAGCACTTTTGGATTCCCAGAGACTCAGGGGAAGCAATGGAAGACGTGTCTGTGTGTGCGAGGGAGAGGTGAGACCTAAGAATGGCAAAGGGGAGGGATGGTTGTCCCGTAGGTCACTGCTTCTGCCAAAGCAGACCCACCTGATAAGCTTTGTTGCAGATCTGGCAGCTGAAAGGTTTCCCCCCGACGTGGGTGACCACATGGCGCTCCAGCAGGGACGGTGCACTGAAAACCTTCCCACAGGTCGGGCATGGGTGGTACTCCCTGGAGTGGGCTGCATGGATGTGCTTCTGGTGCTCCTGCAGGGTGGGGAAGCTCATCTGGCACTTCTGGCAGTCATAGGGGTCGTCAATGTCTGAGTCCCCATGTGGAGGGGAGGGCAGGAGGGTGGGGTGAGTTCACATGCAGAGGGTTCAGGAGGAGCAGAAGGACAAAACAGGAGCTGGTTACAATCACACAACTGTTTCCCCTCAGATTATGACTGCCCTACCCCCAGGAGAGACTTTGCTCACAACCAGGACCACATTCAGTCTTAGCTAGGCATCATGTCGGTGCTTCTCATGATTCCAGCCTTGCTGGCAGAGCCCAAACCCTTGACTATACCCTGCTGTGTGGGACTTTTAGGCAGAGACGCAGAAGAACAGCTGCCACCAATAGCAGACCTCCAGCTTCTGGAAGGACAGTTGGGGTCACCCTACCTCAAGGGCTCAGCACTGCCTCCTTCTCCAAAGCAGCACCACATGCAAGAGTGTAAGCTTGAGAGCAAGAACTCTCAGATTACTCGGCATTATAAAAAAATCTCTAAATAATAATAATGATGAGCAACTCCTCTAGATCTCTGGGACTGGTCCGGGAAGGGGATGCCCTCACAATAAGAGGCAGAGCAGGGGGCATCCTGCAACTGCTTCCTTCCAGGGTGTGTTTGCAGCACTTTTAAGTGCATGAGCAGTAAATGGCAAAACTTACAAAGCTAGGGAGGGCAGGAAGCTGTTGCTGTCATTATTTGTTGTCATTTATTATTATGAAGCTGAAGGCACTCACTGTGAAAGGTGTGCAGGTGTATGGAGAGACCGTTGGCTTGGCGGAAGCCTTTCCCACATTCCCGGCAGACGTAGGGTTTGTCACCTGTGTGGGTGCGCACGTGGCGGGACAGCTCAATGGACTGCGCGAAGACAGCGGCACAGTACTGGCAAGCGTACATCTTCCCTGCCAAGAGAGCCAACGCAGTGTTGGTATGAGGGCTAATATTATGGCACTGAGCCTAAGCATGGAAGGACTGGCATGCTAGAAGGACCATCATCAGCTTTCCAGAATACCCAAGCAGTGCCTGGTCTCAGAGCAGTGTTAGAAAATCAGATATACAAGCTAGGCGCCAAATGGCTCCTTAAACAAAGGTTGCAGTTGCCAAAATGAAACGTCTAGTTGCCACTAATTGATTCTCAGTTAAACATCCATTGGTGACCTTAAAGATGAAAAGTCACTTGACCCAGAGACAGGCCTATCCTGACCTGTTTTTCTTAATGGTGACTGCTCCTGCTCAGGCTTGGCAGAAAAAGTATCTGGGTTCCTGAAATTCTTTCCAATTGTGCTGATAAAATATTACTGGCAGAATTCTACAGGAAGGGGTATGAGTGTGTGAAAACAGTCCAGATCCAATGACCCCCAGGCATGCACCTCCAGATGGTGGAGGTGTCAGACGCCATCCTGGCACCCAGGCATCTTCACTTGGTCGAAAGTGTTCAAAAGTCAGGTGCAAAATACACCTGGCTAATCTCAAACACTGTCTCAGAGTGACAGGGATCAGCTGGAAAAGACAGCAAGAGGAGGCAAAAAAGGTGGCTGAGGGACAGAGGGCAGCAACCCACTTTGGGGTCTTCAAAGCTGTGATGAGGTCAGTCTCTTCCCTGTGGCCGGGTAGCCCCACAAGGGAAGCACTCATACGCCCCAACTTTCAGTACCCAGCACCTTGGGCCCCTGTGAAGTTTGGCCTCCTCCACACAGTGCTGCTTGCCAAGGTGCCTTTCCCTGACTCCCAGCCCTGTTGTGCAGCAGCACATCACGGCCCAACCCCTGCTCTACTGGGGAGCCTTGGCACATTTCGGCAGTGGGCTGCATGAGATGCAGCCTCTGGGTGTGCAGGGGGAAATGACATGTGTCAGCAGGGCCCCCGGTTCTTTGCTAGCTTCCCTGACTCCTGTCAAATAGCTGCAGTCGGAGGCTGACCCGGAGGGGCACCTGGCCTCACCTTTGGCGTGCTTCTTCTTGGTATGGTAGGCGAGAGCCGAAGCCTGGGCAAAGCTCATCAGGCAGTGCTTGCAGGCGAAGGGCTGGTCACCCGTGTGCAGGCGCTGGTGGTTCTTGAGTGTGGAGTTGGCCGCAAACTTGGCACCGCATTCTTCGCAGGAAAAGGGTTTCTCGTCAAAGTGCTCCGTCAGTTTGTGGTACTGCATCCCTGAGGGGAGGGAGAAGGAAACAGCAGCAGGTGAGGCAGGAAGCCTTCAGCTCCCCAGCACACCATGTGCAGCCTTTTCAGATCAGCTTCTTGAGGGACAAAGAGCTGCTCACCACCGCCTGCTCAAACTGGGCCTGGGCTGCAGCGGAGGGGATTCACGCTGGGAAACGTCCCTGCTGTGGGAAGGGCCCTCTCTCAAGCTTTTCTTGCCCAGAGAAAGTCATCTAGACTGGGCTAAGCAGACTGGGAGGAGCAAGGCTTCTTCTCCAGCCTCAAGGCTTTGAAATGGGCTGCCAAGCCTGCTCCCTCTGCCTCAGCCAGGCTCAGCAGGCATCTGGATCTAGAGCAGGGTTTCTCAAACTTGGGTCACCACCTGCTTTTGGATACAATTTCCATCATTCCTGGCCACTGGTCCAGATAGCTAGGGTTGATGGGAGTCCAAAAACAGCTGGAGACCCAAGTTTGAGAAACCCCAATCTAGAGGATGACTGGACCTCTGGGGTTTCACTTCTGAATGCAGAGAGGGCCTGACTGTAAATGGAGAGATACAAGGGAAGCTGGCAGCTCCCAGCAGCCCTGTGGCTGGCCATACCTGATGTGTGTGCAAACTCCCGCCCACAAATGTCGCAGGCCACGGGGAGGCGGGGCTTCTTGGGCTTCTTCTTCCGCAGGGAGGAGCCTAGCTTGCCGTGAGCCTCCGCCTGGTGCTTCTCCAGCTCTGCCTTGGAGGCCTTCGCCTCGCCACACTCTGGGCACTGCGCCGGCTTCTGGTGGGCAACCCGGCAGCGCTTCTCGTGCACCTTCAGGCGGCAGTAGAAGCGAAAGCTCTTCCTACAGGCCTTGCAGGCAAAGCTCTTTGGGGAGGCAGCTCCCTTGGGGGCCTCTGGGCTTCGGCCCCCCTTTGGCTCAGCTTTGCTCACTGCTTCAACCTGAGACATGCTGTTCACCTTCCATTTCCAGACACTGGCCTTCCCTCCGTCGACAGCTGTCAAGAGCCCTGTGGAAGAACAAAAGGAAACAGTTACTCTGAGGCATGTGGACCGTGGCTTCAGGGCCATCAGCAGGAGCCAAAAATATCTGAAGAACAATATGCTGAGCACAGCTTCCAGAGAACCATTTTAAGGGTCAAGTTTCTAGCTTCTAGCTTACTAGTTTCTAGTAAGTGCTTCCAAGCATCAGGACAGTTCCAGAGGAATTCCCAGGAGTGGTCAGCAGTAGCAACTGCTTCAGCTTCTTATCTACCCCCTTGCCAAGCAAAACTTATACCAACTGTGTAAGACAATAGGAATTCTGAAGCACACTTGAATGGGTGCAACATATGCAGGTCACATAGCTTTAATCATTGTAGCACCTGAGGCCAAAACCTTGTACCACTTCCTTAAAGCTACTTGGAAAGTGCAAGATAGGCTGGTCAATGAGGATCAACTACCTCAAGATCAGCGGCTTGAAAGGAAGGAGAAATCCTGCAAGGACATGCCTGCAGCTGAGGGGGACACCACTCTTCCCATGCACTGCACAGCTCAGCAACAGCAGAAATGGGTTTCTGCTACAAGGGTCTATATTTTGCATTGTCTTACTTTTGTTTTTGGTGTATCTGTTGTTGTTTTTTTAAAAAAACACCTTTTCTTGTTTTTCCTGTACATTGTCTTCAGATGATTGTGTAGAAATTGATTGATAATACTACTTTAAAACCTGAAAAACTATTCTACCTTTAATTAAGCAAGTTTCTAGGCCTTAATTGTGCAAGGGGGGTGTCTGGTGGAATCTCTCATAATAATAATAATAATTTATTATTTATACCTCACCCATCTGGCTGGGTTTCTCCAGCCACCCTGGGCGGCTCCCAACAGAATATTAAAAACACGATAAAACACCAAACATTAAAAACTTCCCTAAACAGGGCCGCCTTCAGGGGACTGAGCAGGGTTTTCAGGGTTAGAGAATGCTTCCATGGACTGCACCACTCTCTCCTCCTCCCCACAGCAGTAGAAGAAAGTAGAAGAAACCAGGCAAAATCAGCTGCCATGTGAAAGTGTCTTCCACACTTTCCTCTGGCTGCTCCCCCCTACTGGACCCTTGTACAACAACCAGGCCCCTCATGCAACAATCCAAGACCGTAGGCCTTTGAGTGCTACCTCTACTCTGCAATGAAAGGCTTCTTCTGCTTCCGTTTGCTCCAGCATCTCAGCAGCCCACTGAAAGAAGCTGGGAGTGGCTCTGGGCAGCATTCAGCCTCCTGGCTGTGGATTCCTGAACTGACCCACAGTGGGAGCCTCTTTGCAGTGAGCTGCTCCCCCCACTCTCCCTTTAACTCAAGTTCTGCAAAACAACGCACCTTTCAAGCATGCACACAGATGTGTATGTTGCCAACTGCAGCCTGGGGCTGGGCATGTCCTCCACCACGTGCCTAGAGAGTGGCATATACAAGGCAGAAAGATTCTCACCAGCTTGCTGTAGTTCTTGCATCACTGTCTGCAGGCCTGGGAAGTACTCCTGAATGCTGCAGAGGAGCTGGCAGATCTGGGTGGCAGGAAGTGGCTTGTTGTTCCAGGCACTGCTCAGAGCTGCCCTCCAGGAGGTTGCAGGGGCCATCTCCTGCAGGCAAGTGCTCACCAGCTGGGAAAAGCCACAGAAGAAACACACAATGAAGAGAGTCCCCCTACCCTGCTGCATGGCAGCATTATTTGACCTCTCCACTGGGTGCCTGAGCAGGTGCAGATGCTCCCCACGTGCGGCACGGGGGACTAGATCAACCCAGAAGGTCCAGCGAGTTCAGCCACACGCCTCTGGGAGCTGCCAAGCAGGGACATAAAAGACAGCAGCCCTGCCCTGTCGAACCGCAGTCGTTTATTGACTCCTAAACATGCCCTGAGAGCCTATAGGGCAAGGGATGGTTTTCATATGTAGATAATAAATATATAAATAACCAAAATGAAATGCAACATAGAAGCTCTGTTGAGCTACAGTGGTGGAGGGCTGTTGATGATCAACTTCCTCCCTGAATGTGTCCATTTGTATCTTGTGGCAATGAATCACATAAGCTAATAATGCATTTGATCAAGCAGCACCACCTCCTTCCCAGTCATCGGGGGTGATGTTGCGATGGGGTTACGACCAAGTGGTGAACCACACATTCACCTGGCCATTGGTTGTCTGAATCTACCCAGCAGACATCCTGCCACAGACTTAGCACACCTGAGATATACACACCTGGCATCCAGGGACAGCATCCTGAACCTCCTTGGCTGGTTTGGCCAGGTCTGCTTCTACTGGTGGCAACTCCTCTTCTGGACCAGCTCCCTGCTGGAGGGCCTCGGAAATCAGCTTGCGATGCCTTAGTAGTATTTCTGTGGCAATGCTGTCACTTGAGCCAACTATGGAAACGGGGTAGGGTGGGGTGTCAAATTACCAACTAGAGGGCTACTGCAGAGCCTCAAGCTTCCCAACAGTCATGCCATTTCCCTGCCCCATTATGTGCTCCCCATTGTGAGAAAACTTCAAACAGTCTCTTGGAGCCTAAATAACCCATATGGGATGGTTTCAAACCTAGACTAAAGGACATGTAGGAACAGGCCATCCTGAGCAAGGAGGAGACCAGCCGTATGCATAAAGAGTCTATGTTGTGGGTGAAGACTCTCCTGCATGTCACAAAGACCGACTGAGGCCTCGTTGGACGAGGTGGGGGGTGGGCACCCTCTGTTCCATGATGCTGAGCGAGAGCTCAGTTGGGGCCATAGCCTGCAAAGCCTTTTCTGAACACTCACCGCCGCCAAATTGTCACCCCAAGGGTACCTGTGCTGTCAGAACCAACTGCTGCAGCCACCCAACGGTCCAGCAGGAGACCCAGGCCAGGGAAAGGAGCTTTCAGGGCCCCGAGAAACTTTGACAGGGCCTCTGGGCTCAGGATCTTCTCCTCCTTGAACAGATTCTCTGCAGCGTCCCTGGGTGAGCTGCCCTCAGAGCAGTCCATGGCAGCCTGCAAGGACAATTACACAGCTAAGCAGGAGATTCTGAGAAACTTAGCAAACGCACATGCAATACTCCCCCCACCCCCCACTTCGATGCAGTTTGCAGTAGCTGAAATTTTGAAACATATACACTATTTCAAGTATGTTTCAGAAATCTAACCTGGCATGTTTGGCAGTGACAGGATCTGTGCATTCCAGGAAATATTTCAGTTGGGCACCAATTCTGTGCAAAGGCACCACAGATGCTTAATAGCTATCAAGAGCAATGCAAACTGGGAAAACCTGGCCCTAGCTTATCTGTTTAATTCATTTATATACCACCTATTAGGGTACAAACTCTTGCAAGGTATCTTACAAAAGATATATAAATGTAATATACGATAAACATTAAAAAAAAGACAAACTGATTTAAAATAACTGACAGAAGCAGCAGCTAATGCATGAATCCAGTTTAGACCTTGAGATCATGTAGTCCCAACTCCCTTCCAATGCAGGAATATGCAGCTGTCCCATACGGGGATTGAAGCTGCAACCTTGGGATTATCAGCACCATGCTCTAACTAACTGAGCTATCCATCATGAAGTGAACTGGGCAACTCTGCCTACCTCCTTGACATAGAATTAAGTACTAGGCCAAATTTCTTGGCAGAAAGGAGGGAGGCATTAGTGGGAGAGGGAAGGGTGATGTGGGTAAGAAGGGAGTGGCAAAAAGACAGGGGCATGCCCCTGCCTTCCCCTTTTTCCAGTTTACCTGCTTTTCTGCCCCAGAGAGGAAAGCATCATCCTCTGATGTGTCCAAGAGCCCTTGGATAGGCCTCAGCTGTGTCAAATCCTTTAGAAGTTCTTCCTTACTTTCCTGGGGCACAGCAGCTGTAGGCTTCACCTCTTCTGAGCTTCCTATGAAAAGAGGAAGCCCAGAAAGTCAAAAGGAGAAAGGCCAGTGGAAGCAGGATGATAGCAGGGGGCTATTGTCTTCCTCTTCTGAGAATTATTCACCAAGCAAGAGAACACTGCATACTGTGCACACCAAGCATACATAATGGATATATGTGCCCAACTGATCACTGCACTCTGCAGCAGATTTCATCTGGGAGTGCATTCCATGTTGGCATCTACTGAAGACCTCCTTTCAAAATGCCTTGTAAGTGCAGATTTTTATCCCAGCCTTTATTCATCTGGAAATTGTATTCCTTTTTTCTTTGTTACTGTTGATGCCTTGTTCCTAAATTGCTTTGGGATGTTTCATGGGAAGTGAGTCACAAATGAAACTGGCACAAATGAGTGCAAGGAAGCATTCTGGTGGGAATGTTTATGCTAAAAAACCAAAACGTCTTAATTACCTAATAGGTGCTGCTGGAGGAGTTTCTTGGGAAGAGCTTTGCTTTTCCCACCTGGGCTCCCGCTTAAGATGGCGCATCTCCCTCCTCTTGCAGACAAGGGGGAAAGCATGCATGGACACAGGCAGAAGCTCTTGGCTTTTGGCTTGTAACAGGAGCAGCAGCTCACAGCATCAAGTGATGACTTCCATGTGTGAAACAGCCATCACAGGGAAAGCACAACAAACAAGGCTGTCTCTGCACAGAGTCAAATGCAAACTTTTCAACTGAGGCAGTTCACTAATTGACCTCACAGTTGTAAGACAAGGTACATACATGTATGAATCAGTCCACTGGGTAGAATTACAACAGGCAAAGTTACTCTATATTAGGAGCAGGCAATGTCAAGGTGACACTCTCACCTGTACCTCCAACCAGGTCTTTCTCCTCTGGCAGTTTGGTGCTCTCCCATTCCTCGCAAATGCTCTGGCCACCTGGACACAGAGGGAGGAGAACTTTGGGATCCTGGCAATGAGAACCAGGAAGCTGAGTTTCCTTGTCTGAAGCTTCCTGACATGTGCTCTGTCCTTGCACTCTGGTAGTGTCCACAGAGTCTGCAGAGCCAGAAGAAACCTGCTCAGGATGCAACATCACTTTGACACTGAGTTTTGCAGCACGAGAACTGTCCAAAGTCGCAACACCTTTACTAGATGCATCCCCTGCCTGAACAGAAATGTCCCTCAGCACTTCTTCTTGACTTGGAAAGCTCAGAAGGTCTCCAAGAAGGGTTTTGCAACTGACAGCCACATCAAACATCTGCAGACTGTCTGCCACAGATATGATGTTGGTGAAATTGTGCTTCCCAGGAGGCAGCTTGCCTGTATATATCATTTCTAGCAGGAGAGCAAATTCATCTGGGGCCACCACAGAAGCATCAATGGAGACTGTGTCTGTGCCATCCAGCACAGACCTGAACAACACACTGGCTGCTGCCAGCACAAGCTTGTGCGCTCGGAAATGCATCGTCCCAACCAAGATGCTGCAGTCGCAGAACTGCTGTTCCCTGCAGAGTGTATGGAGCTGTTGAAGTAGTTGCTGGCTGTAGTTTGGAAGATCCATAGCTTCCTGGAAGTCTCTGCTCCCTTCACGTTCTGTATAGTTTTGCTCCCAATCAGCTGTACGCAGATGAGAAGAGCAGCAAATTAGTTGCGTAGACTGCACTTGTTCCCTTCCCCAAACTATCATTGTGATCAAGCCTGTTGCGTTGCCACAAACAAAGGTAAACAGCTTTGGGACACTACTGCTTTCCACCTGTAACACCCAACTAGACTTTGAGTAAGAAAGTATTTCCTCCAAACAGGGTAATACTATTTAGAGACCTCTGCTCTGCTCTCTAGTTCTGTCTGCTGTGTCACACTTGCCTTCCTTCCAATCCTTCCTCAAAACCTACATTTTCTGGCTCAACCTCCTGGTTCCCATTCCTTACTGCAAACCTCAACATGTAAGGAAGCCTAGGAGGGCCATCTTAAGTGGATACAGATTGCTTTTGTTCCCCTGTCCCCAGCCTGCTGCTGCTTCCAATGTGTTAAACTTCAGACTGTAAGCTCCTTGGGGCAGGGATCTGCCCTCTTGCACTCTGTAGAGCCTGGTTTTCGGAGGTTCAAAGAGCAGTGCAACGGCATTTGAAAACAACCTTTGCAAGAAGCCCAGTACTGCTCCAGTTTGAAAGCACGTCAGTGCAAGTAGATAAACGGCACCGCTGTGGTGGAAAGGTAAACGCCGTTTCTATGTGCTCTGGTTTCCGTCACGGTGTCCCATTGCACCAGAAGTGGTTTTAGACATGCTGGCCACTTGGCCTGGAAAGCTGACTGTGGACAAACGCCAGCGAGATGAGAGCCACAAACTCACAGCCACCTTTGACTGGACTTAACCATCCAGGGTTTCTTTACCTTTTACGTTTACCTACTGCTTCTTAAATATGGGCCTGTTGGGGACAGGAACTTTCAAACAGCCCAGTGCTGTTCTGTGGACCTTTGGTTTCCCACTCAAGCGAAGCTCCTTGAGGAAGGCAAAGTCCCACAAACGATGCCAGGTTACACCATGCCGGTGCCGCCCATGGTTCACCCAAAGAACCCTGGAAGCTCCAGTTTGGAGAACTGCAGGTCTTTTGAGAGGCGAACTACAGCTCCCAGGATTCTTGAAGGGAAGTCATGCAGTGGAAACATGTGATGGGCCTGAGTTTGTGGTGTGTGTGTCCCCCCCCTCCCCAGTCGCTTTCTTGAGCTGTTTCTTATCACAAGCCGCTCTGGGAGCCTTTTTGTAAGGGAGAGGGGACAATAATGAAAGCGATGCTCCAGCCTCGAGGCTTCTTTTCTTCCTCATTCCCTGCCATGTCTCACAGCCTAACAGAGCCCAACTTGGGCCGAGTGCCCTTTCAAGGGAGATGCGCGGCCGGTGGCCAGCTGCGAGGGGGCGGACGCAGAGCCCCCCCCCCCGAGCAGCACCAGCCTCCCGAGGGGCATGTCCCGGACGAGGCCTCCCACCCGGGCGCGCTCTCTCCCTCGCCCGCTCGAGCCAGGCGGCGGCCTCCCGAAGGGGCCTCAGGCCCCCACAGAAGCCAAACGCAGGGGCCTGCCTAGAGCCAGAGCAATCGTCTTCTTCGTGGCCCCCACCCTCCCCGGTCGGGTGAAGGAGAGACGAATTGGGATACGGCGAGGAGGGTCTAAATCGGGCGCCTAGGCCGGCTGCCGTTGCCATGGTTACCTTTATTGGGAGCCGCGCGGCGGCGGACACGGGCGAAGGTGGGCGCGAGGGAGGAGGAACAATAAAGCTTCAACAAGGACGGCGTCCCTCAGCCGCTTCTCCGGCCCCGCCTCCTCCCGGGCACAGAGGCGGAAACAAGAGAAGAGTCGCGCTTCACAGGCGGGTCCCGAGGCGGGACTTCCTCTCTCGTCGTTTGTCTGTCAACGGAGGTCCACCGCCCGCCTCGCGTCAAATGGTTAACTTCTGAAGACCGGATTGGCCGCTGCGGGAGCAACGAGGTCACGTGAACAGCCACGGCCTGCTCTGGAAGAGCGCTCGGGGCTGGGAAGGGAGAGGCCGGTCGGCTACTGTTCTAGATTCCCCCAATGGCATCGTTTGTTAGCACCACCCTCCCGCCTCGAAAGTAAAAAGTGGCAATAGGAGCCGGGACGTTATGCGTCCAAAGACAGGAGTGATCAGTCTACCATTTTTTTCTAAGTCTATGGTTCAGGGGTTGTTTGCCTCCCGGCTCTTCGCATGAGCCGAGCGACCGGATGTTCGAGGTTCGCGTCGCTCTAGGCAGCGCCCTGAAATTCTATGAAAAACATACTTTGGGGTCTCTTTGACGTCATCAGACATCGACAGGAAGAAAATTTCCTTCCCGGAAGTAGGTCGGAGGAAGACACAAAATAGGGGTAGGAATGCAGTCTGGAGAGCATCCCTTTTTCTGGAGCCGGATATGGTGGAGGCCTCCTGTGTTACCCTGGGGATAGGGGACTTAGGGGTGGAGTCTCTTTTAGGGGTGGTTTGCTTGCCCTGGGGATTGGTGTTGGCAGCTTGGGGGTGCGGCCGTTGTAGCTTTACTGATATACAGTATTACAGGAAAGGGATACTCTGGCATGAACTGACTGGCAGAAGAGACTGGTCCTTCACATTATGTTGACTTGACTTGTGGAACTGCCTGCCACATGATTTGAGCATAGACTCCCGCCTCAAGCAGCTTTAAAGGGAGATGAGCCAAATTTCATGAAGGAGAAGATAAACTGTGGAACCATCTGGGAGAGGGCTGTGGTGCACAGCCCCTGTTTGTGATTTCCCCATAAACAATGCTGGTTTAGATGTGCCTCTGGCCTGGTACGGTAGAGCTCTGCTTGTTGCATTATTGCATTTATATCCCTTTACTCCCTGTTGCTCAGAGAGTATGCAAAGGTTCTCTCCTGCCTCCACCCTATAATTTTGTCCTCCCATCAACTTTGCGAGGTAGGGTAACCTGAGAGATTGTGGCTGACCTGAAGTCACCAGCTGAGCTTGATGGCTGAGTAGGGGAGGGATTTGAACTTGACCTCCCAAAGTTTTGGGGAATAGTCTGATTAGCCTTGACTACTTTTATAAGTTAGTGACTGGAAGGTGGTTTGGAGAGCTGGATACTGGAGGTTTTTTTCTGAGGCAGCAGTTGTATTTGAGATGGCATTGTGTATTGTGCCACCTTGATGGGTTTAATTGCAGTATCTGCTTCCGTGGTCTACAACCCCTTCATCAAGTGTATAAAATGTTGTCCTTCAGGAGTATCTAACTGGCAAAACAGATTATAGTCTGCGAAACTGGTGCCACAATAAATCTAGTCTTTGAGGGTCTGCAATATTCCTTGCTTTAAGAATAGTGGATAGCCAATGAAATTCCCGAGGTGGGTAATAAAAAGAAATAAACAGTAGTGTACATTCACCTCCTTGGTATGCCAGGTTAAAACTACCATCTTAACCAAACTTTTAATGGCAGATTTGTGACCTGCTGGGACTGCTAATTTTTGATGTCATGAAAGAGTGACTATTTCTTCCTGTTTTATGATTGTAGGAAGATTTGATTGATTTTAGCCTACAGGGGGGTCTAATGAATCTATGTGAGCTGCTTTGTAGAATTTAAAGAGGAAAAGCGGCACACAAATACTTATAATAAATGAGAAAAATCACATTGTTTCTGAATACGGTGTTGTATTTGAAGTTTGTGTATATATTTGAGAATCAATTAAAATATAATACAAAGAAAAAGATAAACCCATTCAAATCAAGAATCCACATCTAGAGAATAGTAAATCTGGTAAATAAAAAAGGCAAATTTTCAGTTGAGCAGGACCCACAAATGAACAGGGCACGTTCTAGAAACTACCAGCCATCTATATTGTTTTAAATATTAGTGATATAAAAGGTTGTCATAATGAATGAGGAGGCAGCTTGCAGAGAGAATTCTCCAAGTCATAAGAATCATTTATAAGCACCTATTGGGGTGCTTTGCTGTATCCAGGCTGGATAGTTGCATTCTTTTTTTATTTCAGCTTACGGTAGCCGAAAGCAATCTTGATACTAGCACAGGTAGGCTATTATGTGCTATTTGTTTCCAGAATTTTTACATATCTGAAGAAATCTCTCTTTCAAAATATCACTATGCCGAGAGAAATTTCCCTCAGTCTGTTCTTGCTGTGTGTGAACTCTTGAAGGTTGTTGCCAGATATACACCAAATGAGTGTGAGGCGTATAATATGACTTGTGGGCAAGATAAGGCACATATAGACATAGGAGTAAAGTATTGAAATAGGATTGGGCAGTTTTGGGGGATATAGTGTTGCAGAGAGGAACAGCTAGGTTATTTCTAACCCTTTGTGCTTTCTGACTAAAGAACCCCAAACTATTTTATTTTTCTCTTTCTAGGCATATATACCAGAGTTAGATTATCGCAATGGATGCTGCCGGGCGCCCTTCGACGGGACAGGTGATCCTCCTGGCAACCAGTTCAGCTGTCACCGCAATTCTGTATGCCATTTACAGGCAAAAGTCAAAAATAGTTCACAGCCTGAAGGTCAGTTGTTGCTTAGAACAGGGCCAGGGATAACCATTATTTTTAATTTTATGTATTCAGTGTTTTTTTCAATGCCTGTTCTGCTTCTCAACTGAAAAGTATCTGGAGCAGCTGCAACAGCCTTTAAATGTTGAATTTATAAAAGGTAAAGCCTGTTTTGAACATCATAGACTAAAAGTATATTGGATCCAAAAACTACAAATGCCAAACGAAGGGAGGAAATCCCAAAAGGCGAGAAAGGAGTGGGGGTGGGGGTTTATACAATTATTGTGTTATGGGTTGTAGTCAATTAATTCCTATACAAAGTAGACCCATGCAAAGATGTTGAGTGAAGGACAGGCTCTTACCAATGTTTAATTCCCTCCTCAACCCAGGGAGCGAAAAAAGTCACCCTAGACCAGGATTTGAAGACTATCCTTATGGAAGCTCCTGGAAAGTGTGTCCCTTATGCAGTAATAGAAGGTAGGGTTTGTGAGTCTTGTGGGTTGCTGGTAATGGGGGTGGGAAGCATGTATGAGTATTTGCCATTAGGTGTCAAGTTTGCTCCATCTGTCATGGAGGATTATGGTATAACGTGCACACTAAAATGCAACTCCCATCAGCCTCAACCAGTGATCATGGCTGTCCCTGCACTGCATAGCCCTTAGACCTGTGGGCAATTTAATGGGTTCCTATTGCTCTTGCTGTTCTGTTACACTATGGTGAGTCTTCAGGTGTGCAATTAAGCTCTTTTCAGCTGTTCTTTTCTCCCTCCACCATCCAATAGGTGTAGTGCGGTCTATTAAGGAAACCCTCAACAGTCAGTTTGTGGAAAACTGCAAGGGAGTGGTTCAGAGGCTAACACTGCAGGAGCACAAGATAGTGTGGAACCGAACCACGCACCTCTGGTAGGTACATTTCACTCCCAGACTTGAAAATGGGGCAAGAGGGTTGTTGCTTCCACTGATGTATTGGTGTGAGGCAAGAGCCTTTATTGGAGTATGCAGCTTAATCAGTAGGGTAGGCCAAGTGCCATTCAGATTATTATAATCCACCTTTCAATCTCTTATCAGGGTGGAGTCTGCATGCAGACCTTTATACTCCTCTGGCTCCCAGGGCTCTCCCCAGGCTATATCCCCTCACCGGGCTTGCTCTGTCCCCCCATGAGTGCTTTTGCCTGGCTGGAATGTGCTCCTGTGAGAATACCTCTCACTTGCCAA